TGGCAGACTCCTCAAGCCAGACATATTGTATTATTGTAAACTAATTATATAGATTAACACAAATTATTTGTCCTCACTAGCTGCCTTTGAAAAATTTCCTATAAAATTTTGTTTGGTTATAGTTTAAATTGAATATTGATTTAAATTTTGGTTTAAATAATGTTTTAACATGATATTTTGTAGAAAAAAAATAATATATTATTATTGGTAACAGTACAAAGTGAATAATATCGATTTCGATTTTAAATTACAAAAGAACAAACACATATCTAAAATTATTCTAGAGTTCTATCAATATATATACACATATTATTAATATGAATAGAAGTAATCAATTCTTTTACGGGTGTGTTTGTTTGAGGGTTTGAATTTTGAGTTATGATTTGAATAATAAAAATTTTGAATTTGAATAGTTTACGATGTAATATAAATAGGTGTTAATGTGATATTTTGAATATAAAATTGATTTTTAGTATAATATAAAAAATGAAAAATAAGTGTTTGATTTGATATTTTTTAGAGAAAAAAATGGAATGAATAATGTATTTAAAATCCAGTCCCCCGGACAAAACTATCAATATATTTATATATACAAGCAGTTTGTGCACTGAATGCTTATTTAGAATGTAGTTGATAATATCTTAAATATTGATAGATAGCACATATATAAAACATAAATCAATGGTATAAGTTTTGTGTTAATACAATATAAATACAATACATAATAACATTTCATATTTGATTTTTGACACGAGAATTTATATGAATAGTATTAAGTAAAATAATTTGAAAATTAAAAAATATAATGAAAAAGAAGTGTTTATTTATTTTTTATATGAATGATGCGATGTGATAAGTATGACTCATTATTTTTTATTTTGAAAAACATTACAAAATATTTGAAACAGACCAAAAAAAAAATATTTCAAAATATTTAGGACGAAAAAAGTATATTGCATTCTATCATTGAATTCAATATGCACATAAGATACATAAAAATAACACACTCATAAACTGTAAACGTATATCACATAATATAATATTTTCTCTTTTCTGCGTTAATTAAAACATAATATTATTTTATATTTCATAGATAGGGCATAAGTGTTCAAAGAATAGATAAGTATGGATTTTAATACTATGCTTAGAAGGATATTTTGTTAATTTATGCTCCCACAGTCTGGTTCAAAAAGTCACATTTACTTTTTGTGTCATTGTATTTAACATTAAAAATATTCTTATATTTGTATATTTTTTTGCACAAACACTACAAAAAAATAATATATTTGTAACGGAATTTCGTTCCTAAAGTTCACGTAGCTAACGTAATTTCATTCCTATTTCCGTCTCTAATGTCATTAGTAACGGAAAAAGTAAATTTAGAGACAAAAAAATGTTGTTACAAAAATGATTTTTTCTTGTAGTGAAATATCATTCTATTAGAATTATAAGACACTAATGAAAGTATTTTTGCAATTTTTTATTAATTTGTACTACGTTTTGATATAATAATTAATATTCAAATATCAGTATGCAAAAAGTAAATGAAACCCTTAGAGTCGGACGGAGGTAGTATGTTTTTTCGTCTCAACTTAAAATACTTTATTTTACCATTTTCATCCATCTCGCTTAAAAATATTTATTTACTATTATAATAAAAATAATAGTAATACTTTAATATTAAAATACCCTTAATTTTTACCTAAATTACAAATATACTATTGCACATATAATTAATTTATACATAAAATCAAAAGGTAAAAGTATTGAAATCATTTTACACATTTTGACTAACCAATAAAATACAATTATTTTTTAATCTACTACAAACCCCCGACGCCTCAGGTCACCTGTCACACATGGTTCGCCTAGTGTGTCTTGTCTGTCGGGCCTAATTTGCAAGGTATTAGGTTCGGCCGAAGGTTTAACCGGTGCGTACTTTCGGGTAGCGGCTGCGGATTCACACGTCATAAAATAAAATAAAATAAAATACAATTATTTATTAATTTACTAAAAAACTTTAAAATGTGGGACGAAGAGTATAAATTTGTGGCACATTTTAGTAATATTGTAAGGTGTATATTTGTTAAATAAGAAAATATATTTATTGTTTGTAAACGAACAAAAATAACAAAATGTATTTATTATTAGCAATGAGAAAATATTATATTCTTTTTTAATAACGTGAGAATCTGTCATAACTATTTTTCGAGTGCGCTTTAAAAGAAAAAAATTGTCAAACCTAATAATATACAAATTAGGTTTAACAAAACAAATCATATATGATAGACAAGACCCGAAATATAAAAAATTTAAACTCATACTTTTATGGTCACAAGTCCACCCCATGCCACCGGATCATCGCTTACTTATAAATATTCTATAAAAAAAAATGGCCGTCGTCCAAGTAATTAATTAACAGAAAAGACATTGTCAAAACCAGTCTAACTTTGTTGACAGATCCAGAAGCTGTTTCTCTCTCTAGCTCTCTCTCTCTCTCTCTATATATATATATATATATATTATTATGTTTTTTTATTATTATTTATTCTAGTCTGTTGTTTTTGTCTGTGAAAACAGCTAAACATTCGACAATTGTAATTCTTGAAAGTGGAATATGACTTAGGACACAAATGAATTATTAGTTGTGCCTTAAGAAAAGCATTCACAGATTTAGAATTACTTATTAATTTATAAGATGGATATAATTAACAAAAATAATTGCAATAATGAAAAATGTAGGAAGGCTTTAATATTATCCCATTTAATAACGAAGGCAGTTAGTTATATATCTCTTTCCAGATTTTTTCAATATTTAAAAACATTGCCTTTAGAAAGGAAGGAATTTATTGGTGTTTAATTTAGGTGTCACAATCACTTTCTCTCAAATAATTTATTGACCCAAACATATTTATATTTATATTTATATCATTTTGTAAGAAAACAGACAATTCCCTCTTCCAGATTTCATTCAATTTTGCTTTTATATATAGTCATTCTCTCTTACATTTAGGGTGTGTTTGTTTGGAGGTTTGGATTTTGAGTTGGGATTTGAATAGTAAAAATTTTGAATTTGAATAGTCGTATGATGTGATATAAATAGGGTTTGATGTGATGTTTTGAATGTAAAATTGATTTTTAGTATAATATAAAAAATAAAAAATAGATGTTTGATTTGATATTTTTGGGAGAAAAAATTGGATGAATAGTGGAAATCCACCAAAATCCTTCAAACAAACACACCCTTACATACATACATACATACATACATACATACATACAGCCAATAAACTAGTATCTAAATTTTAGGGGCAAAATATTATAATTTATTTAATATTTAGCTAATAAATTTAAATAAATAATAATGACAGAATTATACATGAATTTAGATAGTTTTTAGAGGCAAATTGTATATAAACACATAAAAATTAATATTTTTAATACAAAAAAAATTATAAAAAATTTAGCTTGGGGGTTCAATTGACCCCCAAGCCCTAACTTAGTTCTGTCCCTGCAGATATATATATATATATATCTCGGTATATGATGTTTAAGGTTTGTTTACTTATTTGTTGAATTTGGACATATTTAGCTTAAGATTTAAGGGTTAGTATTCGGATTTAAGGGTTAGTATTCGAATTTTCGGTTTGGATTTTGTCAAATTTGAATCGATCCAAAAATTCAAAAGTTTGGAAAAAAAATCAATCCAAACCGAGGCGAAAGAACTGAAATGCAAAATTCGAAAATCCGAACTAGACCGAAGAGGGTTTGTTTGTTTTGTGTTTTTGTTTGATTTGATTTGAAGTGATATTTTTTTTTTTATGTGAGGTATTGAAAGTGTGTAATATACTAATAATTATTTAGAAAATATGTTTGTGTTTTTTCACTAAACAAACAAACAAATTATAAAAAAATTAATTAACTTTTAAACTTTATTTATATTTTTATAATTATTTTATAATATTAAAAATATATATATAATAAATAAAAATAAGTATGTTAAAATATAATAAATAATGTTGAGTAAAATACTTTTTTTTGCTGGAGGACTAGCCGAACCTATATAGGTTGTGAGTACTCACACAGAGGTTGAGGGATTTGTAATTAAACTACACTCTCATTTCCATTTTTATTAAATGTATATATATATATAATAATAATAAAATATATTAAATTAAAATATTATATTTCAAATTTTGGATTGATTCGGATGTTTAGTATACTGATCCAGATTGATCTGGAAATTCGAAAGTTATAAAATAGTCAATCCGAATCAATTCGAAAAATTCAAACCAAATTTTAGATTTCGATTTGATTTTAATCAAATTTCGAATATTTTGCTCACCTTTATAAAAATTAATTGATACGTTTATTTTATTAAATAATTTGAATAAATATTTTTTATTTGAAATATAAAAAATTGTGTAAAATATATAAAAATAATAAATATATACACATTTTTGTTAAAATAACACACTATTAATATAATGAAATAAGTGAAAAAAATTAATTGCAAATTGATTATTAGTATTTATTAAAGTATGAATAATAAAATTAATAGCGAATAAAATTTAAGCATAATAATATAATTTTAATGGACAAAACGAATATATACAGTTTATTCTTAGGAGGTCCAGCACTCCCAGCACAAAATCCATCTTCACCATTCATCATACTATCAACGGTGCAGATTCAACCGGTCCTCGAGATCCATGGATCTCCCAACAAATGCACGTACCCAAAGCCGGCAAAGAAGAGTAAAACACAGTGTTAAAGTCACATTTGATAATTATAAATAAATAGAACTTGTCTTATTCAGAAAAATACAATAAATTAAGGACAGGACTACTGGGCAAACCTAGTTAGTCATGATCATCTGTACATAATTTTTACCTTATAAAACATCAATTCTCATATCAATAAAATTAAATTCACAATACATATATATATATACATAATCCATTCTAAGAACATTGCCATTGTCCAAACCTCTAACATTAATGGAGCCTGAAAAATCCCTTGCATCGTCGCCGGAAAATGACGACGACGACGACCGATCAACGGCCGGCAGCGCCACCGGAGTCGGGAGATCCTACGAGTGCAATTTCTGTAAACGCGGATTTACCAACGCGCAAGCACTCGGAGGGCATATGAACATTCATCGGAAAGATAAGGGCAAGGGCAAGATCAAAATCAAGTCGAAAAATAATATTGAATATGATCGCGACAATCGAGATCACCACTCCGGTGAGTCGAATTATGGGAGTTTAAGGTTCTTTCCGGCCGAGATTTCTTCGATTGGCGATGAGAATCGATTGAGTTATTACAAACTTGGAGGTGGAAGACAGGTGGAGTATCAAATCTACTTGCCATTGCAGCCAAACCCTAATTCCCGAATTCGACATTTTAGCATGATGTCCGAAGGGGCTTTGGATAGGTTTCGAGATGGAAATGAAGGTAAGAATTTCGAGAAGACCGACGTTGATTTAGAGCTTCGCCTCGGCCGTGATTGTCCACAATGATACGTCGATCGATCGATCGAAATATTCGAATGTTAAATTTATTATTTAGTTTCAAGAATTGTATAGAATTAATGCATGCCATAGAAAGACTTGTAATTTGTGTTTGTTTGTTCATTTTAGTTTAGTTGCAACTTGATAAAATTGGATTTTTCATCACATAGACATGTAGTTATTTAGCTAATTCATTGATCTTAATCATTATTTCTTGCAATAGAATTATTTTGTTTCTCAAGCTCCATAATTGGATCTATTTCTCTTTATTGTTTGTTAATACTCCCTCCGTCCCATAACAAAGTATCAATTTTTCTATTTTAGTCTGTCTCATTACAAAGTATCCATTTTCCTTTTTAGTAACGGTACTATCTACCTAACATTATAAATACACTTACAACTTACAATATATTACACAAATGTCATTACATTTATATCACACGTACTAATAAGGTTATTTTAGTAATTTCTACTTTATTCATATTATATCTCAATACAATACTAATATTTCTAAAACTACGCGTAAAAAATAAATAGATATTTATTTATGGGACGGAGGGAGTATAATTTACCTCATCATATTCATATGCATCAACTTTAATATGAGGTCATGTAAGTAGAATTGTAAAACAAGACTTCATTTAGATTTTGGATCGAAGTTTTTAGAGTTCAAAAAAGAAAATAAAAAGTAAATGGTCAAAAGTAAGATATTTTGATATACATAATATTCTAGGAAAAGAAATAAGTATTTGATTTAATATTTTATAAAAAAAAAATAATAATAAATTATTATTTATAAATAGCTGAAAAAGTTTTAAAATTATATATGTAAATAGAGTTTAAGTGTGCTATTCTCAAATTTGTTACTATTTAGCTCGTTTGTTGAGGTAAATGAATCGAATGTAAATCCGTATAAAATTCAACTCATTAGCTCATGGCAGAACCCAAAGTTTGTTTCTAAATGTCAGAGAGTTTGAACCCATAATCTTACAGTGACGAATCTACCCCTACATCGTTAGGTCGTCTCTTCCGGTCACGTAGTGTTTATTAGTATACATTGTGTTGGTTGTTTTGGGAAAAAATTGAATTGTGTATTATTCCTCTACTAACGCAATAAACACTACACACTACATACAGTTTAGTTATTGTATAATACAATAATATGATATATATATATATATATACTAACATTCCTCAAACTTAAGATGGTGCCATAAAATTATATTTTAGTGTAATAAAATAAATAAAAAATAAGTATTTGATTTGATTTTTATGAAAAAAAAAAAAAAAAAAGATTGAGATAGTAAAATCATGGATAAAATTCCACAAGTAAACACTAACTATTGCGATTTTCAATTGACTCTGTTCTATCAATGCTATTTTTCAATTATGATTTTTCAACAATAATAATAAACAGTAAGAAAAACTTTTCATAAAAGTTAAAAAATAAATAAATAAATACTCATTATAAAATATTAAATATTCAATTTAAAATATAATATTTTATACTTTTGATACAATTACACGTACCAAGTAACACAAAAGTGGATCCATCTAAAAATGTTGCATAAACGAGCCATTATTTCAGTTATATCTTTTATTTACACAACATATTAAAAACACACTCCTTTTATTCTTTGATTTCTTTCTATAATAATAATAATAACACATTATTCACCTAATGTGATTTGTTTTGTCGAACTTAGTTTGCAGGGTATTAGGTTCGATCGAGGTTTACTCAGTGCACACTTTCGAGTAGCGATTGCGGATTTCCACGTTATAAAAATAAATAAATAAATAATAATAATAATTCATATCCATAAGGGATGGTTTGGTAGGGAGATAGACTCGTGACCGTGAGGTCATGGGTTCACTGCACTCCAAGGTAGTAGACCTATTTACGGGATACTGAGTTCACACTGGAATGATAGTGATTGTAGGTTCCACTTCTTCAAAAAAAAAGTATAACTTCATCAAAAAAAAAAGTATAATAATAATAATTCATATGTTTTCGATAAATATATATATATATATTATATACCCTACTTAATATGTTAAAATATTTTTTTGATTGAGTTTGAAAATTTTTGATTAAATTTAAATTTAAATTTTAAATAATATATGATAAAATATTTTATAGAAAAAAAAAAAAATCTAGAGATTTGGAGGGTGAAAAAATACACTACTTACAAATAATTACTCATTTATACTCCTCTTGTGGTATTAATATTCTTTTCGTCCTACTTATTTTGTCTCATTTAGCTTAGACAGGTAGTTTTAGGTAGAGTTGGCAAAAATTGATCCAACACGACAACTCGATACGACCCGATACGAAATAATTGGGTTTAGGTAAAAAATTTCAACCCAATTATGTATATGGATTGACACGAACCCGACACGATAATAAACAGGTCGGGTTAGGGTTGAGGCTTTCAACTCGAACCCGACACGACAACCCAATTATAATATATTAATATTGATTAATATATTTATTATATATATAAAATAATCATAATTTAATAAATTTTTTCATAAATTAATTTAAACTAAGTTCAATTTTAAATAATTCAACATAATTTACGCTCAAACTAATAAAAACTAACATAACACGACAACAAAACAAAAAATTATTTAATTTGAATCAAGAAATTAGACTTAATTATGTATACGGGTCAACACGAGTCAACCCGAACCCGACACGATAATAAACGGGTCGAGTTAGGATTGAGTAATTTAACTCGTTTAAAGTATTCAATCCGATACGAATCCGAGACGAATCCACCATTGCCGGCTCTAATTTTAGATACTATGTAATTAATAAATAATTAAAATGTGTATTGGTGAAAATAATTATGATTTAATAAAAATAATTATAGATTAAGATTAAAATAACTAAATAGTTTAATTAAAATAAAAAATATATAAATTATGAATTTTAAAATGCGATTAAAGTGTATAATTATATTTCCAAAAAATAAAATGACAAATTACGTGGGATAAACGAAAATAAAAATAGTAGACAAATTAAGTAGGACGGATAGAATAATATTTTAAGTTAATAAAAATGGTAACATACTTCCTTTGTCAAGGACACAATATTTTAAGTAGAGTAGATCAATAAATTATTAGAAATATAATTATACATCACGGGCCATGTAACAACATGGTCATGTATAATTATACACTGAAATATACATAACTATGTAACAACATGGCCGTGTATAATTGTATATGGTCGTATAACAACATGACAATGTACAATTATACACTAAAATATACATGACCCTTTAACAACATGGCCGTGTATAATTGTATATGGCCGTGTAGTTTCCATTATGTTTACGTCAGCAATTTCCGTGAGATTTTTAACGGTTGAAGCAAAATTGATTGAAATTGTTTATAATGGAAGCAAAATTGATTGAAATTGTTTATATTGAGACTAAAATTGATGAATTTTTTATATTGAAACCAAAATTGATAAATTTCGGTTATATTATGACCAAAATTAATCTTTTTCCATTATTATATTAGGAGTATTTCTTTATAGGGGTAGTATTGTCAGTATTTTAAATATTTTTAGTATTATATCTCAATAAAATATATATACAATATTAATATTATTTTGTAAATAATAAAATTTTATATTATAAAAATAAATAAATTGTAGATAATAAATTTTTATATAATACAAATAAATAAATTGTAAATAATAAACTTATATAATATAAATAAATAAATAATATATTTATATATTTATAATTAATTTACAACTAATTTTATAAGAATAAATTTTTTTTAATATAAATAAGCAAATTTATTTATTAGAAAAGATATAAATAAATAAGTTTTCAATAAATTTGATGAATAAAAGATTAAAAATTAAATTAAATTAATTTGTATTAATTAAATATGTTTTGTTAGAAAAAAAAAAGAAAAAAAAAAAAACGAAAATGGATCGATGGGAATTTTATTAAAATATTGTATTAATAGTAATAATACTGATAATTAGATTAGTAAAAAACCCTAATCCCACAAATAAAATCCCAATTTCTTTCCGTTTCTTTCTTCGTCTTTCTCATTTTGCTTCTTCTCCGCCCCCTTCCTTCTTCTTCTTCGTTGCGTCCGCCTTTCTCCCGGAGACGAAGTCCGCCGCTGCCCGCTGGAACAAACGGTGAGTTTGTTTGTTTTTTTTTTCTCTGGTTCTTCAGCTTCGGTACTTCCACCATATATCAACGAAATCGAGTTTATTTTAACATTTTTGTTGTTCTTTGGCTGAGCGGAGTGGAGGCTGTTTTTTTCGGTATTTCCAGTGGCGAAAATAAAAAATTAAAAAAAAATTGAAGAAATGATTTGTGGCAGTGTACATACGAGCTAGTTGTAAGGTAGGATTTGTAGGTTGGGTTTTGAAATAGTAAAACCACAGTTAAACCATGTAAGTTTACAAGCAACAGATATTGCTTTAATTTTCTGAAGTTGGGATGACATTCATAATCTATACATACATATGCTATCTTGTTCGCTTGCTTGTATTGTACTGTTATTGTGGGGACTAATTTGCTTCATAGGAGTTATTTTGATGCAAATAGAAATTTATGAAGATCAAATGCTAAAGCTTAAATTAAAGGCAGTAAACCTCTGTATAATATGCTTTCTGAAAGATCCTTGAAAAACTTTATCTTGTTCATTTGGCCTCTAAAAGCTGAGTTTAGCTTAAATAATTTTATTATAAATAAAACTACATTGCAATGCAGATGGCTAGGTGGGATGAGATATTATCCCTGCCAGTGCAGAACCCCTCAAACTTGGAGTTCTCTGCCGCCGATCTTGTTTGGTCCAAGGTTGAAGGCTGGCGTGACAAAATCGATAGACTTGCTCTGATTCCATTCTCCAGGGTAGATGATTTTGTTAGAGGGGAATCAAACAATAAAGAGTGCCCTACAAGATTCCATGTTGAGGCGAGGAGGAGACGAACTCCGCAGACAGCTTACAAACCAAAAGTCGATGGAATTCTTGAATACATCATGTATGTATGTTCTTTATCTAGTTAAATTATAATCATATTTTTAATTGTTATTTTCGTAATTACACTTGCTTATCATTTGCATTATCGTTATCCCTATATGCTATATGTAATGTCCTTTAATTAAATGATGAACTACTTTTTAGGTACTGGTGCTCCTTTGGGCCAGATGATCATAGAAAAGGTGGTTCGATTCGTCCAAGTAGGTCTACTTATGTTCCAAAGAACAAATCTTCTGGTAGACCAAATACAAAGAGGGGTTGCACCTGTCATTTTATTGTTAAACGCTTAATTGCTGAGCCGACGGTGGCTCTTATTATATATAATCAAGATAAGCATATTGATAAATCTGGGTTGCCATGTCATGGTCCGCTAGACCAAAAAGCTGTTGGGACTCGTGCCATGTATGCTCCATATATTTCAGAAGAGCTCCGCCTCCGTGTCTTGTCTCTCCTTCATGTTGGGGTCTCTGTAGAAACAATTATGCAGAGACATAATGAATCAGTGGAGAAACAAGGCGGTCCATGTAATAGAGATGATCTTTTGACTCATAGATATGTTCGTCGACAAGAGAGAAGTATTAGGCGATCTACGTATCAACTAGATGAAGATGATGCAGTGAGCATTAACATGTGGGTTGAAACCCACCAAAATAATGTTTTCTTCTATGAAGATTACTCTGATTCTGATCCTTTTACCCTGGGAATTCAAACAGAGTGGCAGTTGCAACAAATGATTCAATTTGGAAATTGCCGTTTACTGGCATATAATCGGAACTTTGGTTCAAATAAATTGAAGGTTTGTTATATTAGCTTTCCATTAAGTGTTCCCAATTATTACTATTTTGAGTCCTAACTGCTCACTCTAGTTCCTTATTATTGTTTTGGCAGTACCCTCTTTGTAGCCTTGTCGTGTTTAACTCAGAAAACAAGGCTATCCCTGTAGCTTGGATAATCACTTCTAGATTTTCGAGTACCGAATCATACAGATGGATGCGGGCACTGTACAATAGAGTTTGTGCAAAAGATCCAACATGGAGATTGGCTGGGATTATTGTGGATGATCCATTGGCAGATATCTTGGCAATTAGGTATGACTTGAATTCATCGTCATTTATATGTTATGCATATGGTTGGTTTCTTTCCTGGGCCATAAAATTAAATTTAGGCAAAATAGCAAAAAACCCTCCCTATGATTTTTTGAGTTTGCTGAAAACCCTCGTGGTTCTAAAACTCCAAAAAATCTACTTATGGTTTGCAAAATGTTGCAAAAAATCCCCCCTCCGTTAGGATTTAACGACGGTTGTATATCATACGCCTGAAATGCGATTTTTGGTCCATAAACTGATATATTTCTGTATAAAATTACTAAAATACCCTAGCTTCTTCCTCATTCTTCTTCCTTCTTCTTCTACATACTTTTAGAATTTAATCTCAATTCAATTTTTTTCATTTTGAATCCGTTAAACACAACCAAATTTGAAATCGATCTCAAATTTATAATACAGTTAATCGACCGAACATAGAGATGGATACAAGAATGTGTAAGTTATCGATTCCTTCTTCCGTTTTACCAAATCCAAAAATTTAAGAAATCAATCTATGAAGAAAGAAAGAATCTGGTGTTGTTGGTTGCAACGGCGTAGGGGAAGAAAGAAGAATTGGAGAAGAAAAATAAAAAAAAAAAGAAAATTAGGGAAAAAGAGAAAGAGAAATAAAAAGGAAATGGGAAAAAGAAAAAGAAAAGAAGTGTTGTCCAGCCCCTTTTTCCACTTCTCTTCTTTTTTCTCTTTCTCTTTTCTTTCCTTCTTCCCTGCTCCAGCCGCTTCTACCCTTCGTCTTCTTTCTCTTCTTATTCTCTAATACGGCGTGAAAAATAATTGAGGAAGAAAAGAAAAATTGAGGAAAAAGAATAAAAGAAAGAGCTGCGCGTGTGAAGAATTTGGATGAGGAAGAAGATGAAAGGAAAAAGTTAAGGGAGAAGAAAGAAGAAAAAAGAAAAGAAAAGAAAAGAAGAGAAAGAAGAAAAGAGAAGAGAGAGAAACAAATTAAAAATATATAAATAAGGGTATAATTGTCAAATTTGATAAAAATTTAACGTCAGTTAGTCAAATTTAGAGAGGGGGAGAGTGTGCAATATTTTGGAAACCACAAGTCGGTTTTTTGTAATTTTAGAACGACGAGGGATTCTCAGCGAATTCGTAAAACCACAGTGAGGTTTTTTTGCTATTTTGCCTTAAATTTATTATAAACATGTTATAGAATGATCATCTTTGAAGATAATCAAAATACGCTAACTGCATAAACGGCTCTTTGGCATAGTGTTCTGGTTCCAAGCACAACTCTAAGGGTGTGTTTGTTTAGAGGTTTGGATTTTGGTTTGGGATTTGAATAGTAAAAATTTTGAATTTGAATAGTTGTATGATGTGATATTTTGAATGTAAGATTAATTTTTAGTATAATATAAAAAGTGAAAAGTAGATGTTTGATTTGATATTTTTGGTGGAAAATTTTTTGATGAATAGTAAAAATTTGGTAAAATGTTACAAACAGACCCACCCTAAAGTTGTTATGGGGAAGTTGTCTTGATTGATATATAGCGAATGAGATAATGTAATATTGACCAAGTTTTTTACTTCAAATTCAGCTTTTGGTCCCTTTTTTTTTTATATTTAACTTTGGTGTCAAGTACTTTGTGGTATAAACCATTTTTGAATGTGTTTGTAGGGAAGTCTTTCAATGCACAGTATTGATATCCTTTTGGCGTGTTCGCCATGCATGGCATAAAAATTTGATGACAAGATGCTCGGAGATAGAAATGCAAGCCGAAATAGCAAAACATCTAAGTCCTGTGGTTAATGATATTCGCAAAGGATCTGTTCATGCGTTTGAAAATTTCATGGAAGACCTTGTCGATGCAGCCGAGTTCATGGACTACATCAAGGCAGTTTGGCATCCAAGGATAGGTATCTCTAATTCAATAAACCATAGCTTATACTGTTTTGTCTCACGAATTTAAGTTAAAAACTCTACTCTCTTTAATTAAACTCTTAACAATGTGGCTCTACTATCTTGCCATTTCAAATAATAACTAAAACTATCGAAAAATCTGAACTAGAAATATGAACTCCTATTCGCACTCTTATATGATTGTTATTATTGACCAGATATGTGGGCGAACGCATTGACGACTCTTCCTCTCGCCAGTCTAGAGACCTGCGCAGCTATGGAATTTTATCACAGCCAGTTGAAGCTTAGGTTACTGAACGAAAGAGGCCAACAAGCATACCAGCGCGCCGATTGGCTTGTTGATAAGCTTGCCACAAAAGTGCATTCTTATTTTTGGCTCGACGAGTACTCAGAAAAAGAGGATTTTGCTCGATACTGGAAAGATGAATGGATGAGTGGTCCAACAGCATGGAGAAAATCACAAAGTATTCCAGATTCCCATGTGATCGTCGAAGGTAAGTGCGCTAAAGTTACCGAGCTCGTAGATACGGTAAATACATGCCATATAGTATGGAACCCCGGTTCAGAGTACGCAATCTGCGACTGCGACTGGGCGAAAATGGGGAACTTGTGCGAGCATGTTTTCAAAGTAATGAAACTTTGTCGCAAGAAAAGAACCGTCGCCCCATCCGTCAGCATGCTCCAGTACAGCCAGGCGTTAATGAATATGTTACGTTGCCATCCTTTCGACTCTATGGTTCGCGATCATGCTGTTACCTTAGCTGCCTGGTTACAGGTGCAGTTAAATGTACAAATTGATACGGAAAGCACCGAGGAAGATGAAGAAGTACAGGTTAACTCCGTAAGCTCCCAAGATGAAGAAAATGGTACAGAGCAGAGAAGTATGGAAATCGAAGCATCTGTAGGTAATCCTGATAGAGTTGTATGTGCTGTGAACTTAAGTCCTAGTAAGGCTGCGTTAAAGCGCAAACGTATGGAAATAGAAACAGAAGTAGTAAGTGATTTCGATAGAATAATACCGGAGCCAGAAACAGAAGCCGGTGGTGATTTCGATAGAATAATCCCGATCCCAATCCAGAACAATAAATCCTATGAAAGTAGCACGGCTCCATGAGAGTCGTTTGAGTTTCGTTGTTGATAATGTAGCAGATATAACTGTTAAATTAACCGAGTATCTCATGAGCCAAGCTCGGGTCGGTCGGTCGTTCTACCTGTACAACTTGTTGCCTAAGTCTAAAAGAAGGCTCATGTTGAAGTAAATCACGGGATGGGAGAGCATTCTCTATTCAAATTGAAGGAGTTCAAAACCTCGAATCTTCACTGAATCAGTTTAATCGGAATTCAATTCGATTTGCTCCGAAAGTTTCTGTGATTTTCGAGGGTTTGTTGTGTTGTTGACGTTGATACGTGCATTGTTTTGAACTATGATAGCGGATGATGTGAAGAAGGCTTCTGAATCAGAAATAAAGGCAGCAGCAGAAGAGGCAACACTCTCCGACGCTGCTGAATCCGCTCCTGTGCCAGAATCTGGTGGTTTTCTCCACTTTCTTATTTATCAGATCTACATAAAGCTGCTGCTGTGGCTGTCAGAGGAGATCTCTCAGCAATGTATTGTCTGCCGTTCTCGAAAATCAGTATGTTCTTATTTTCTATATTTGGACTGGTTTCAATGGCTGAGGTTTATATTACGTTGTTTATATATTAGAAGTGAACTGTATTTATGTGTGTTTTTGTGAGGGTTTCTTAGATTAGAAATGTAAGCAGAAGACGAGATATATGTGGATCTACAATTCGACACCGTGACGTCATTAATAGTTCTAGTGTTAATCATGGCACACATTTTAGTCTGTCTTAGAAATTGCATTTTCGATGGTGACTGCTTACTAGTTGTTGGAGAGTCAGAGACCATGAGGAAAGAATAATATGGTTTCAATTCATTGTAGATATTTGATGCGGAGAGTTGAAATGGATTACATTCACAGATAGTGGCTGACATTTTTCCTTCCCATTCTACAATGGAAATGGAATGAATTTGTTGTGTAGAAATTATAATCAGGTTTTTGTATTTATTTCTATTTAAATTAGTTGCTAATAGAGCTTTTCCCTTTTTGAGTCTGACTAGTTTAAGAGCTAGGTGAACTATTTAGCGTCGGATCTTAGACAGAAATGGCTGTTTATTTACATCTACTATACCCGATTGGCTTCTTTCGTTATTGTTTCTGCTAAATTTGTATGAGTTTCTTTAGGTGTTTGATTGTGTTGCATTCTGGGTTGTGGTGTTTTTTCCTCTTAAATGTAGGCCGAAGACTCAGAATCTTCTATAGACGAAGGTAAATAAGGGTCTAAGATTGTATTTTCTATGTTATTGCTATTGCTATATTGAACTATTTGTCTTCCAATTATCGTAAGCGAGTTTCACTCTGTAAATGCCAGGGTTCGAAAGTTTTGGACACATCAGTGGAATCATTTGCTTTAGGAGCTCGGGAAGGAAATGAAAATGCTTGAAAAGGGTGAGATGCTTTAGCCCCTACATGTCTCGGTAGTGGCATTATGTTATTATTTATGTTCTGCGGGGACATCGTACTTACCCACCCTATAATCTTTCTGATATTATTATTTAGTCTTGAAACACGTTCTTTCACCCGACTACTTTACTGATCCCGCATTCATCTTATTTATTTGGTTCATCGTGCTAAAGGGTATGGTAATCTTTTTGAAATGATTGACATGACATGATCATCGTATATGATAGTATTTCATGGATCATATGATATGCAGACTTATATTTTGGTTTCTTTCCTATTTTTCTCAAGTTCTTGTATGGATGAGTCGATTCAAATGAGTATTCGAGCGGAGAAAAAGTCTAATGGATGAAGATCAATTGTTTGAAGAAAAATACATTTGACAAGTGCGTTTATACTTTTATATATACGGGAGGTATTTACAGTTCAAAAGTATTCATTGTCTAGCCATTTATTTTAATTTCGAACTAAAATTAGTGTATTGTTGACAAAACGGGCACTAGTATTAGTACAAATTTAATTTTGAACTAAAATTAGTATGTTGTCGACAAAATGGGGATTAAATCTGGCACGAAAAACCTGTGTTTGGATTTTTAGATATAAAATTTTTTGGGCTGTATGGCCCATTGCAAAATCGGGTTGGACCGGTTCGACATGAAAAACACAAAAAAAAAACTAGGCCACTTTCCATTATTTCACGGATGCTTCTTGATCATCACATTCATGTTGGTAAATAAAGTTTGTTTGGTACGAAATTTCCATATTTGGCTATTGATGTATATATAAAATTTAAATTTAAAATTAAATAGAACATAATGTATAAACATGGAAATATTGTTCATGAGAAAATTGACACTGATGTTTTGTTGATAAAAAGTTTTCAGGCAAGTATCACAGAGTAATTTAATATTCATTTCTGTGTGTCAACTTTATTTTTTTTAATTTTCTAAGTTAAATTATTTTATTATTAAATTTTCTAAAAATTAAAAAGTTAATATTTAATTATTATTTTCTTTTCAATTTTATTTACAACAAATGCTACTATTTTTATTATATTTTTTCCTTTTCATTTATTTAATTTCTAACTAAAATTTTAAAAATACCTTTAATTACTTTTGGTATTTATTATTTTTGTGAAATATATATTTTTTTAATGTATAAGAGTTGTAATTTGTAAATATATTGAAGAAGGAAAAGAAACTAATTTTATTTATTTTTATAATATTTTATTACATAATTAAAGAAACTTTGGATTAGAATTGGAGTTGTTTGGTTACCATCTATTTGAGATTTATTTAATGGCAAAAATATTTAATTCATTTGTGATTTGAAAAATATGACCCATTCTTACTGTTCATTCAAATTGTATAATATTTTTTTATATTTTTAAATATTGTACAAAATTTTCTTTTTAGGATATTATGTACAATATTTTCAAAATTACAAATTTAATATAATTTTTAAGAGATTTTGTATAATAATTCTTAAAACATAAGAAAGTCTTATACAATTTCTAAACTAATGCAAACTTTTCAAAATATATGTGAATTATAAGAAATTTTACTATGTTTAATTAATTTTTATTTAGTTTATGATAATGATATACTATATATATAATTAAAATAAGTATATATATATATATATACATGTTCTAAAAATTATATTCCAAATAAAAGATATATATGAATACCATTATATAAAAAATAAAAAATTTAATAATGTAAATAAATAATATATATTTATATAAAACTAACATAACTGATTTTATAAATATACATAAAATTGCAATGTAAATTAATAATTAATTAATGCAAATATGAGAGTTTTTTTTTTTCTTTTACAATTAACTTTTTGATAATACATATATGAATTAACTGTAATTGTGACGACATATTTACTTTTTATATTTTTTTAATTTATTATATATATATATTTGAGTGAATATGTTATTTATATTAAATATAAAAAATCATTGTTGATAATATAAAAAAAAATATTTTTATTGAATGTTTTTTAAGAAGATAGATGACATATAATATATATTATGGAAGTTTGTATATATATATATATATATTTTAATATTTATATTGGGGTACAAACCCAAGTCCACATCGGAAGTTGGGAAGAAAATTCTACGCTTTATAAACCCCAAGTGAATTCCATTAGGACGAGACATTTTGGAGGATATCCAAAAATAAATCCGTACGGGCTCAGCCCAAAGTTTTGTATAAACCTTATATCAGTAACGATGTGCGAGAACAAACTTCTGCATACTTTTAGAAAAGTGAAAATGCATATAAGTTCGTCCAAATAATATTTATTTTTTGCGTCATTATACTTAACATATTTATCTTAGATACTAATGGAAGTACTTTTGCAATACTCTATTTTTTTTAAAAAAATAAAAATTCTCTAAATTTTAAATTTTCTCCAACCCACTCTATTTTTTTTCTCTAAAAAAAATATTTCATATATATTCCTTATTTTACACAATTACATAACTTTTATTAACTTTTATTATTTACATATTAATCCCAATAATATTTTCTTATTAATTATAATATAATATAATTTTATATTATTTAATATTTTAATATAACATATATATTGTAATATAAATACATATATCTAATTTATAATTTATAAAATAATACAAAATAAAAAATTTTGGGATAAAAAAAAATTAAAAAAAAAAACCTTATCATCTATTTTCTAGAGAATGCAAGGAACACTGTATATTTCCAAAAATGAAGAAAGAAATGGAGCTGGTTTGGGGATTTTGCTCCAATAATGGAGTATTTCTTCAAATTTAAAGTCGGTTGGAGAAGCCCTCGTTGCAATGGAAAGTATAAGAATTGTTGCGGTTAGGGTGCACTGTTTTGATTTGATCAAATTAGTATACTAATTTTATGTAATTAGCAAATCATAATAAAACATATAATATATTATCAAATTAGCATATTAATTCGAAATAATTAGTAAAGCATCACAACACATATAACAAATATTGTGTTGTATAGAAAAACGTGTTCTGCAGGTTAAATATGTGTCGAAATCAGTATATATTATATTCCATACAATTATATAATGTGTTATGTTATATATTGTATCAATATTTGATGTGTGAATATGTTGTGTTGTAGAACTTATTTATTGTATTATTGTGTTAAAATAAAAATGTATTGAGTTGAAATCAGAATTATATTTTGGTACTTATAATTATAAAATATGCTATGTGTTATATATTAGATTAATGTGTTACTTTCTTATAAATATATATTGATTTGAGCAAATAATTAATTTGACTCAATCAATAAGGTAACCGAAACGTTGAAAAATACATGAATTTCTTTATTTTATTTATAGAATTATATATTAACTTTGAAATTTTATTTAAATAATAATTTGAATATAATATTTTATTAAAAAATGATGAGAATTTGAATAAAAAATAAAATAAAATGAAACCAAGGTATATGTGTTTCATTGCTCATTGTTGTGAACATTATGACCACTCAATTTACTAAAATAATATCTTTTGATGCCTTGTATGTATCTTAATGTTGTCACACATCATTTGATTGAAAAGAATAAGAATCAATTATTATATTATGTTAAATCTATAAATATATCAAGAATTTAAAAATATTTAGATAATCCGGACATGATACTCTACTGTTATGATAATGAATCCATGCACAATTTTAAAAATGTATTTATTTTAGTATTTTAGTTTGATATGTTCTTTTAGTTGATTTATGAAAAATTATTTTAATAATATAAAAAATGATATTTTATATTAAATTCTTGATTTTTCGTAAAAATTATAGTATTATTCATTCCGTTTCATATACAGAGTAATGTTTGTTTTTTGCACGTAATTTTTTAATATTAGTATTATATTGAGTTGTAGTAAAAAAGACGAAAATACTTTTATTAATATTGTGTAATATAAAGGTTGTGACATTTGTGTAATATATTGTAAGTTTGAAGGGTATTTATTATGATAAGTAGGTAGTACAATTACTAAATTAGAAAATTGTACTCTTGTTTTGGGATGGACGAAAATTGAAAATAAAACCCTTCTTATGGACGGAAAGAGTATATAAATTATTTATATTATGTAGATTTATGTATATGATATTTTTTTAATTAATATTTATTAAAATTTATATCCGCAATCATTTGTTGGATGAACAAACTTTATTTATCACTTTACCGCCATCATCTTTAATAAATTTCTATTTGATTTCAAAATCTTTCTATTTCGATATGATTTTTGTGATTCTATGTTAAATTGGAGAGGAATGTTACGATATATTATGATATATTTCTAAAAATATTTAAGTATATACAACTTTATAATCATTAATATTTTAATAGTAAAAATATTTGCAAGAATTTAGTTGTAATTTAAATATTACAACATATATTTGAGAATTCACTGTAAATATATGGATATATAATCTAATGAATGAAACTTTTAAAACAAAATAAACAAAAATCATTTAAAAAAATAACATATTAAAACCGAAATACTTGAAAAGGAAAATCAAATCAAAACCAAATAAAGAAAAAATATAGAAGAGATGTTGGTCTAAGAATATAAGGCGAATGATAATCCATTATTCATTTATTCTTCATTTTTTAATTAACATAATTAAGCATAATGTGCGTTTAATCCAACTTAAAATTTCTTTTTTACACAATTTTCTAAT